ATTGGATTTTTACTGACATCTGGTGAACAGCACCATTCTATAAATCACTATTAGAGGCTAACATTGGTAGTGATTATTCTCCTAGTGTTGGGTAGGATTTTATTATTTACCATTTTTATACATCCACACAAAATGTTTAACGTATACTTGTATTACCCCTAACCCATGGTCTGTCCACAAATGCATATAGATACAGTAGAAGGCATAATTCGTCAAAATCACAAAATTCTATGAGTTATTGCCCTTGTTCTTAGAAACATGTTCAAATTTTAGCTCGTTAACACTTAATAATGATTGGGCCTATCAATTAGGGAGAGACTTGATGAAATCGTTTATTATTAATCAAGGACAAAACCTATAAAAAAAACAGAAGAATTTGAAAATTATAAAAAAAATTAATATAATCTATATTTAGATATGATGGTTATCGTAAAGAATCAGTATTCTCTATTGGATTACATGGTATAGCACAAGAGGATGGTGAAAAAGTCTGTCAAATAATAGAAGATACATTTGATAAAGTCATACGGTAAGTTGGTATTATGTTTAAATGTAATAGTGTTATTATGATGAATTCATAGTTTGATTGTACACAAACATAATGTTAAAATTGAAACAGGAGCCCAGAAAAATAAAGGAAGCCTTGTTTTTTATTCAAGACATCTCGTTATTCTGTATTTTTTGTATTGCTCACAGTAATTTTTTTAAAATTTCCATAATCTTTTTGAAAGGATGGAATATTTTGAAGTTTCGAGGTATGTAAATAGATATTTGTAGCCTGTGTATGCGTAGTCTGTATAGTTACAGACTTTTTCCACACCAGATCTTTGATTCCTATCATTTTTCGCATCATAGCACTAAGGAGATACAATAAATTTGTTATCCTCCACATTTCCTATACCGTATTCATTTTTCAGAGAAGAATTTGAAAAGGAACGAATAGATGCAGTACTACACATGATAGAACTTGGTCAAAAGCATCAAACTAGTAATTTTGGTTTAAATCTGTCCATAGTGAGTCATCTCTTCATTTATGTACTGGGAACCAAACTGGCTTACTTGCTAACCTGAAGGTCCAGGGTTCAATCCCTACATAGACCAAGATAGGGTTGGTAGAGTGGCTGACATTGAAAAGGCATAGACTCGGTCAGATGAGAAAATAAACAGAGGCTTTGGAATTTTTTATTATTACCCATATATGAATCTGATGAAAAATTAAAAACATTGAGAAATTACACTTTTTTATTGAATTTTTTCTTTGATTTAAAACTTCATTCCTTTTCATTTCATTTAGTTTGTTATATGAAATATAACATATTGTATTATATTTTATAAGTATAATAATATATTGTAGGCAGTAACATCAATTTGGAACCATGATGGAAATCCCACAGAATCTCTAGCAATCAATAAACATGTTGAAAGGTTTAAACAGGAACTTCAGAATAATCCCAGATTTTTACAGGAGAAAATTCAGCATTATTTTAAGGTACATTTTCTACTGTTGTATATAAACAAATCTTATTTATATATGTCTTATATGTATTTAATAATAATAATAATGTATTTTTATAGCACCTTTTTTCTTAAAAGGTCTGCTCAATAGCGCTGAAAATATCTGTTCCAAAACTTTCCAGCTCAGAAATTAGCTTGTGCTTTCATTATCAAACATTATTTTCATCTTTTTGCTTGCCGGTGTGCAACAGAGCAGAGAAAATGGTGGCCTGTTTTCAGATTCCATTTCAACATGGAATTAGTTTTCATATACTTTGGTAATAGTTTGAACACTTTTAATGCTGATTAGTTCAAATCTGCTATAAAGAAGAACTGGTTTAAGTGAATGAATTTTAGCAAATTAAATAAATTTTAGAAAAATAAATAAATTTTAGAAAAATAAATAAATTTTAGAAAAATAAATAAATTTTAGTAAAATAAATCAATTTTAGTAAAATAAATCAATTTTAGTAAAATAATCAGTTTTAGTAAAATAATCAGTTTTAGCAAAATAAATCAATTTAAGCAAAATAAATAAATTTTAGAAAAATGAATTAATTTAAGAAATATAAATCAATTTTAGCAAAATAAATCAATTTTAGAAAAATAAATCAATTTTAGAAAAATTAATTAATTTTAGCAAAATAAATAAATTTTAGAAAAATAAATCAATTTTAAAAAAATAAATCAATTTTAAAAAAATAAATCAATTTTTAGCAAAATAAATTAATTTTAGCAAAATAAATCAATTTTAGAAAAATAAATCAATTTTAGAAATATAAATCAATTTTAGCAAAATAAATCAATTTTAGCAAAATAAATCAATTATAGCAAAATAAATCAATTTTAGCAAAATAAATCAATTTTAGCAAAATAAGTCAAATTTAGCAATCTAAATCAATTTTAGCAAACTAAATCAATTTTAGCAAAATAAATCAATTTTAGCAAAATAAGTCAAATTTAGCAAACTAAATCAATTTTAGCAAACTAAATCAATTTTAGCAAAATAAATCAGTCTTAGAAAATTGTGATGATTTACTCTGTATCATACATCTTCTGTCTCAATTGAAAACTTTGTTTTGACTAATGCAAGTTCCATGTCCAGTCTACAAGATAGATTTAATTATAAAAAAGGATTGTTTTATTCATTCGAACTCAAATTACAAAACTTGTCCTTAATCAAAATATTTTGGGTGATTGCAGGACAATCGCCACAAATTCACCCTGACCATGAGTCCAGAAGAAGGTTTTGAAGATAAGAGAAATAAGGAAGAAGCAGAAAGACTGAAGAAAACAGTTGACTCTTTGTCTGAAAGTGATAAAAAATTGGTTTATGAAAGAGGTATGAAAGTTTTATTTGATGTTTTTGTCAGTTCTATTTAATTAGAATTGTCAGTAGTTATAATATAGGGCCGCTCGATTGGTGAGTTATGAACATTCAAGATTTATGGAATCAACAAAATGTTCTATAATACATGTTGTAACAGAGTCCAAAACACGTTCCTCGTGTGCCGAAAAAATAGCAAGTGCAGACAAAATTCAAAATGGCGGCAAAGGATTTAGATGGGAAAATTTCAAATGTGACATATCCGCTTTCATACTGTTCGATTGGCGATAGAATTGGAATAGACAGAACCTATTCAGAACTCTCAGACTGGGCGCCATCTATGTAAAAAAAATTTCGCCTCATTACGAGCAAGTGTCATTATTCTCATTTTTGATTGATTTTTATATACGCCCACATCTCTCTATGTGGACGTATATTGTCGGCACACCTGTACGTCCGTCGGTCGGTCTGTCCATCCGTCGGTCCGGCAACATTTGCTTGTAAACACTTTAAAAACTAGATTTTTTGATGGAATCAAATGAAATTCGGTATGTGTATACATATTCATAAAACGTAGATTAAGTTCGAATGTGAGCTATTTTCGACCATTAGAAGCAGAGTTATTGCCCTTGCCCAAAAATCTTGAATATACTATTACTCTCTTAGTTTTCAACCGATTTTGATGAAACTTAAAATGGATGTTATTGGACCTAAATCGAAAGATTTGAGAAAGTTTAGTTTACTTCTGATTAAATTTAAGGCTTTTTCAAGATTTAGGCCTCTTACATCAGTTTCGAAACGAAGATCAAGTTCGAATTTGAGCTATTTTCGACTGTTAGAGGCAGAGTTATTGCCCTTGCTCCAAAATCTCGAATGTTTACCATCTGCATGCCATGGTGGGCGTATATGGCTGTGGTCCACTAGATAGATAGATAGAGTCAAGTCCAAGCCAAGAATCATTTGTCTTTGTTAATGTGTTTTGCTGTGCCCTTGTCCATTTCTCTGACCCATCTGTAATATCATGACCTGCTACCAAGCACATTGCAACACTATAGCAGTTAGCCACCATTGATCTAAAGTACAGTTTATTTCAAGTTTTTGGTGACTGATGTTAGTTTGAACTTATTTTCTGCTCTTAAAATAATATTATTTTTTGACCACTGCGCTAGTGTATATTGCTATTCCTGTCAAACACCTTAATCCTTTGTAGTCAGAAAAAGGCAAGTAAGTTTATCTTGAAAGGAAAAACATTTGATTAGATCTAATTAATGTTACTTGCGGCAATAGCATTTATCAACCAATTATGTGGGTATTACAAAGTATTTAAACCAATATAATGATATACTAAGTGTACTAATTTATGGTAATTATCTTCTTCAGTCAATGCTCATAATTATAATTCAATGTCTTCTAGGCTTACAATTAATGGAAAAACAAATGGAAGAAGAATCCTTAGCCTGCCTTCCTACCTTGACATTAAATGATCTGGATAAGAATATCAAACCAGAACCTGTAAACAATATAACTATAGGTAATTATCTTAGTTTTATTCTTAATTAAAGGTATACTACCTCTTGGGATGACCAAAATATTGAAATTTTTAAACTTGACCAAAATGTGTTTGTGTTCATCAGTAGACTTACCTGTTGTCATAACTAAACAATAGCATCTCTCTATAATCCAATAAAACTTTTTGACAAAGTAATTTTGAAACATGCGTAGAAGCGTGTATTAATAATTATGTAGTTTAATGGATATATTGGGTTATATAGAGATTTTATTTTTTAGTCCAACTGATGAATATATACACTTGTTGACAGTTTGAGACTATAATTTTATGTCCATTCAAGACGTAGTATTACTTTAACAGAAGACCACTGTTATTAAGAATGAACATGAAATTATAGTTCTCAAACTTAGACAATAAGAATAGGCCTTTTTATTTATCAGCGAACTTATTGGTACCATAATAACACAACAGAATCCCTCTGTTATCTGATAAATCATGAATCATCTTGTATGCTCAATTTATGAATTATATATGACCTGCTACAATCATGACTATAAAAAATCATGAATGATCTGATTTTCTGACATGCTCAAATCATGAATGAAAAAGAAGGCATCATGATTGATTCTAATTTTTTGATTTTCTCCAATTGGGAATCTGGCATGCTTGAACCTGAATAATCTGACTTTCTGGTTTCCTCTAATCAGTCTGACATGGTTAAATTATAATAGCCTACCACATCAACATGGCAAGAGTTTTCCTGGACTACATCATTTAAATTTGTCAGATTATTATGCCATTCTACGAATGACTTGACTTGACTTGAATAGTATCTGGATTTTTGTAGGTGGTGTACCAGTTATGTGTAGTCTGCAACCTACAAATGAAGTAACGTATCTTCGTATGATTTGTAATGTTGACAGTGTACCCAAAGATCTACTGCCTTACTTATCTCTCTTTACTGGTATCTTAACACAGTAAGTATTATCAGATCAGCTATCATGCGACACCAATTAGCATAGCATTTTGTAGTACTTTTAGTGATTTAGGTATTCTGGTTTGCACATTCAACCATAAATTTTGCTTAAGTCATATACAAAAAATGTGTTTTACTACTCAATATTGCACAGAAGAGTTGCATTAAGAAACATGAACACTAAAAGATCAATTTGTCAATATGATTGAAGTGTTTTATAGCTCGAGATGATGTCTTCAGATCTTTACTAAGCTAGTTTAATCCTGTTAATGAAGGGCTGACATGGAAAAAGCATCTAGGATTTCAGATGGGACTATAAACTCTATCTTATTGATTGTGCATGTTTAAGATGCCTTGATAAAGATGCAAATGAAAAAGGAAGAAAATAGTATGCTAATGCTATAGCTTTCATAATCCTAATCTGGAGCAAACAAAGCTGACATAAAACTCCATTTCTTGAAGTTCTTGAGCAATATTACCCAGTAGGTAATTCTTGAGATGTCCAGAAAGCAGCTGAAGCTTTGTTTCACAAACAGCTTTTTTGTTTCAGAATGGGTGCTGGTGATTATGATTATAAGAAATTATCTCAACAGATAGATTTATACACTGGTGGATTATCTACATCCCCTCATATAGTCTCCCATCATACACATCATCATTCTTATGAAAAGGTTAGTGCTATTTAAAGACCAGACTCACAAGTTGTCCTTGGTAAATACATTAAAAATGCAGGTATAATTGGAAAAATTGTGTATGCGTAATGTCGACTTACAAACTTTATAATACTGGTATATAAAAAATTTCCTTTGTCAACAAAGATTGTAAGTTGACATATAATACTATGTAATATGATTTTGGCAGGGTTTATTACATTAATATGTATGTCAGTTTAACATTTTATCTTACTTAAGAGCATCCATTTCATTAGATAATACAGTAACAAAAATTACAATGCGAAATATTTTAATAGTTCAAACTTCAAATAGTGATCAATACAGCTTTATAGGAATATTAAAACATGTTACACTACGTTTCAGGTTCTTGAATAATCACATTTTTCAAGATCTATAGTAACAAAGGTTCTATACTAACAACATGTTTCAGATTCTATACTAACAACAGGTTTCCGACACTTAAATAACCACATGTTTCAGGTTCTATAGTAACAACATGTTTCAGGTTCTATAGTATCAACATGTTTCAGGTTCTATAGTAACAACATGTTTCAGGTTCTATAGTAACAACATGTTTCAGGTTCTATAGTAGTGTTTTGATAATTCCATTACAGGGAATATATTTTACATCCTATTGTTTAGATAGAAATATAGAACAACTACTATACTTATGGTCCAGTGTTATCAATAGGTAAAATATATCATTTCATATTCAAATTTTAAATCAATTGCTTTAAGATTGTTTAACACTAAATTTTCATAGATTTTAATCGTGTAATAATCCATTTCATATATACACATTTCTAATAATTTACTAGCAGATGAAGCTGAATTTAAGCTAAGTTGTACAATATCAATAAAAACTAAACTTGATGTCTAATTTCTGTTCAGGTTACAAATTGTAATGTAGAAGCATTGTTTAAAGATTATTATTGGTTCATTGAAGAGCTCAATTGTTTTTTCAGACCTGATTTTTCTGATGTAAATAGACTAACAACATTAATAAGAATGTCAGCTAGTGGTATGGCTGCAGGGTTAGCTGATTCAGGACATTCTTATGCCATGGGACATGCAGCTTCTTCCATATCGCCTGCTAGTTATCTCTCAGAAACACTCAGTGGAATGAAACAGGTACATGTAATGCAAAAGCAGAATTGAATTGTGTTGAATGTTTGCCTTATAAACATTGTAAGCTGTGATGAATCTCCTATAGAGATGTTGAGTTGACATCCCATATTGCAGAGTGGGTTCTGGTTTATTAAATGTTGAGCCGGACCTGCCTTTGCTAGTCACACCTACCACAATATTTATTATAGTAGAGCTGAAATTTAGTAAAGTTTGGTATAGGATTCTGAACAGATTCCATCTGCCCCAATTCTGACATCAGTCGAAAGTGGACAAGTCACATTCAAATTTTCCCATCTATTGCCTTCTTCACTATTTTTTCCGTTCTAGTGAATCTCAATCAGAATTCTGTTCCAAATTGTATTATTGAATGTCCTGTTGATTCCATGATTCCCAAATGTGCAGATCTCACCAATAGAGGGGCTGTTTAGGGCTAACGTCTTAGTTTTTTTAAATTCAGTCCCCTTGACTTGTAGATGATCTTCTACATATATAATTAGTGCTATAATTTGTACATATATAGATAATGCTACAATTTGTACATATATAGATAGTGCTACAATTGGTACATATATATATAGTGCTACAATTTGTACATATATCAATAGTGCTACAATTTGTACATATATAGATAGTGCTACAATTTGTACATATATAGATAGTGCTACAATTTGTACATATATAGATAGTGCTACAATTTGTACATATATAGATAGTGCTACAATTTGTACATATATAGATAGTGCTACAATTTGTACATATATAGATAGTGCTACAATTTGTACATATATAGATAGTGCTACAATTTGTACATATATAGATAGTGCTACAATTTGTACATATATAGATAGTGCTACAATTTTTCTTCATTAAACAATAATTAATTATTTTCATCTGTTTTTTACCGTGAAAAATAATTTTGATTTGATTTTGATAATAATAATTCTGTTTTATTTTTTTAGGTATCATTTATGAAGAAAATAGCTGAGATGAATGATCAAAGTGAAACACTATCAAAATTAAATCAAATTGCTCAGTTGGTCTTAAATAAACAATCTTTAAGGTATATTACTATAATTATATCCCAGTTGGAAAGTGAAGCCATAATTGTTGTCTTCAATAAATCCTTGAAGGCATGTTCTTTTAAATTTTAGAAAAATTATTAAACTATAGGATTAATTGTAAATGTACTTATATAATTGCTTAATGGAAATATTTTTAAGTTTTTCTCTTAAATGGTTTGGAATCAATTCTTCAAGATTTTCTTCCCTAAAGTTACAAAAAAATACTACATTTATTTGATATAAATGGATTTTTTTTCTTAAATAAAGACTGTTAATTATCGCTTATAATATTTTCAGGCTGTTGATCAATGCCACGCCCCAGTTTATGCCAGATGCAGTTAAATCTGTAGAGAAATTTATAAATGGAATACCAGGATCATATTCAACATCTTATATTCAAACTAATGTATGTTTATTTTCATCTTAAAAACAAACTAATTATAATGCTCAATGAAATCTCTTAATACATGAATACTGCATGCGTGATTTTGTACAAATTTCATATGAGAATTGCACAAGGAAATATTTAGAATGTACGTTATGAGCTTATTGCAATGTTTTGGTTACATTGTTATATAAATCAGTAAATCATTAAATGTTACCTCTTAGAATGACCAAAATATTTAAACTTGGTCAAAATGAGTCTTTGTTGATCAGTGGTCTTTTGTCATGGCCCCTGGTAAATCCAGCTGATGAATATATACTCTTATTGATCAAGTTGGAGACTTTAAATTGGAAACTTTAAATTGTATGTCCATTCTAATAGGTAGTATTCCTTTAATATAAGTATTTATTTCAAATTTTAATGCCATGTTCAACATTATTTTTTTATGAGATATATCTGTATAATTTGTAACCAAATTTTAGATTGATTCAGTATTTTAGGCTGATGAACATAATTGTGTTATTATTTATAATAATTATTATTCATACAAATTTATATTTGAATTTGATGTACAAAACCATGTTCTAATACCATGTAGTACCTGTACACCTCAATCAATCATTCAACTTCAACTAGAAGCGGTTAACATAATTTTTTCTACAAGGCAAAAATCCTGTTCTTATGGTTGACTTCTAATGGTGCCCACCTTTACTGTTGGCATCAGATAATATATTTAGCAAATATCATATTTATATTGTTGAATTTTGACTTAGGCATTTGCCATGATGTAGTTCAGGCCCTGTTGTACTAAGCGTTCTGTCAATTGACTATAATGTAATTCACTGTACAAATATATTGTGTATTCTTTTTAGGATAAAGAATTCAATATCAAACCAGTAAATACCCAGTTTGAATTACCATTCTCTGTTAATTATGTAGCTAGAAGTTACCAAACAGTTTCTTCTACACATGAAGATTTTCAAAGGTAGAATTCTTAATTTTTTTCATGCATCTGAATTCACTCCACTTTGACTGGTTTGATTTGACCAGTTTTAAAGATGGATTCCCAGGTTGTTTACCTAATGAATAATCCACATATCCTAGGGCTTAGTTTAATATGGGTTAATAAGACTATGTCAAACCTGTCTTCATGATAGGATGAGTTGTCTTCCTATTAGATCAGTTTGCTCTCTAATTGTACCCCAATTTTCAAAGAGTCAAAATGTCATCAATTTATTCTTGCTGGTTCTGAATGATGTCTGTTTATTTCTGTTTGTAGTTTAAGAGTTTTATCAAGTTTGTTATCTAGGAAATTTCTACACAGAGAAATAAGGTAATATATATTGTTAATTGTTTTGTGTTGATAGACATCCACAAGTGGGAGCATTTTTTGTAACTTAAATTTTAGAACTTGCATTAATTTATGGTTTCACCTTCAGCCTTGACCATATTAGTCGGAGCCACAGTGGCTCAGTGAGTTAAATCTTACTAAGACACATGCTCACTGACCTTAAAGTCCAATAAACTAAGGGCCCTTGTCCTACAGGCATGCACATATCCATCAACAGTTGAAAATTGAACAAGTGAAGGCTAATGCCTTCGTCAAGACAACATTTTTTCCCTATTGCCCACAGCATGGCAGTGGCTGTCTTCAGGCGCAGAAAAGAAGGACATAAAAATGGTAAATGAAAGTTAAAAAAATTAATTTTTCAGAGAAAAAGGTGGTGCCTATGGTAGTGGTGCTTCTTCTGGTTCTGGTGTTTTTACATTTTATTCCTACAGGTAAGTTTGATTCACTGTTTCTGGCTATAGCATGTTATAATTCATATTGAAACATGTTTTGCTACCCTCTGCAATCCAAAATTGAGATGTAAACTTTGCATATTTTTTCCAAAGATATATGAGTTGTGCATACCCGGTAGTATGAATATTTCAGAAAGAAAGAAAATATCATTTTTTACATGAATAACAACTTAGGTTAGTAAGGATCCTTTATACCTGCTGGTCCTTGATCAAACTTCTTGGCATTGATCTCCTCTCGATTGTCCATAGTATGACCATTCATCATATGAGCTGCCCTGTTAGTCATGATGGGCAAATAGAACCAAATCAATCCACAACCAATATTTGTTTAAAATAATCAAGCAATCAATCATATAATGAATCCAGCATTTTAACCAACTGTGCTACAAGCCACTTACTATGAAGTTACCATTTAAATCAATGTTATATTTTATAGAGATCCAAACAGTACCCAGACAATGGATGTGTTTAATCGTAGTTTAGACTGGATATCGAAGTCACAATTTACCAATGAAGATATTGATGAAGCTAAATTGAGCCTCTTTCAACAGGTATTTTTCTGGATAGCTCATGAATTTCCATGACATATATCAGTGGCATATTTATGTATTTATATATAGATAATTGGGCATATCCAGGAGAAATTCAGCAGTAAATTGGTTTTTAGATTGAATGCATAGTTATCGAAACTATGCCATAGAGCTTTATTTTGGTTTCACTACTACTTTTTGTGTTGTGTTTATGTTTTGAATTGTTCAGGAAATTGTGCAAATATCTTTGGTAGATTGAGCTTGGTATGAAGTGTCTGTAGTAACTAAATGTGATATCTATTGTAGATTGATAAACCAGTGTCACCTGGTAATAGAGGAATAGTAGTATTTAATAGTCAGAGAACAGATGAAATGAGACAGAAATCACGAGATAGAATATTCACTGTAGATAGACAGTCTATAGTTGATGTTTGTAGTAGGTCAGTTTAAAAAGTATCTAAATTAAAATTGATTATTAATTATGATTAAAATTTGGTTTCTATTTATTGGTTTTCTGATATTTTTTGTACTATTACTAATGATGTTTAACCAATTAAAGTGTGTGATTTAGAACCTGTTTCTTGATATTATAATGAATTGTGGGATACCAAATCCAAAGTAGGGAAATACTGCAGAAATATTGTTTTCACTATCCTACACTTCTTTATCAAGAGACAGGTCCTACATGACCAGCTTTGATTGGTTAAGAAAAATGTCATTAAAACGCAAGTGTGGTAGAAAACTTGTTGGATTACAATGGAGGCAAAAAATATCAGAAAACAAAATAGAAACAAATTGGTCATCTGATTTTTTAAATTAGATTGGTTTCCCCCTATCAGTGACTTGAAAATATTGTTCTTGTTTGGACAATAAACCAAAAACCTCCTATGCAATAAGCTGTGCACATGAAAGATGAGCCAATCTTGCTGTTTTCACTAATATTCCCTGATTGCACACTGGATCTATGAATCAGATTGAATCAGAAATAATGTGTAAAACTCAATTTTATTTCATTTCAGATATTTATTAAATCAGTCTACACCATGTAGTACCACCTTTCTGGGACCTGCTAATGAACAGATTAAAAACTCTGAACAATGGAATATTATTCGTGAACAGAACTAGCTATGTTATGAACACTTTTAAAAGTTGAAATTAAATTTGTTGTGAACAGAAATAGCAGTGTTAACAAAACCTTGAACAGCGGAAGGAGATTTATTCATGAATGAAATAGCTATGTTATCAAAACGATGAATGTTAGAAAATTTGAACTAGCCATGTTATCAAAACTGCGAACAGTTGAAGGGGATTTATTCGTGAACAGAACTAGCCTTTCACTAGCCGTGTAGGTGTTATCAAAACTGAATAGTGAACAGGGATATTTTCATAAACAGAAATAATTATGTTGTCAAAGTTATGAATGGAAGAAATTTATGTATGAACTAACTATGTTATAAGAAGCCTGAACATTGAAATAAAAACTTGAAGCAGCGGAAATTAATTTATTCGTGAACGGAAATTGGAACCTAAACTCTGAACAGTGAAAATTACTCAGTTATTTATTTATTCACAAGAACCCAGTCTAATTAAATTAAACTTTTGTTTTGATTTATTAGCTTTTAGAAACCACTCCAGTTAAGGTCTAACTACTCTCTTGTTCTTTCTATGTGGTTGTATATGTGGTTGCGTAAAAATGATATTCAATTAGACAATTATTATTACAAGAACCATTAATATTGTCCAAAGCTATGAATGTCCAAGGTACACATAAATAGGCTAGATAATCTTCAATAGCTATGATTACACATTGTTAAAATTTAGATAGTTAATCAACCACAATATATGACAGTTTATGTTAACTTAACCCTAATTTTGTTTTGTTAGTGAGAAATTGTAACATTGGTATCTTTATAGAAAGATATTAGTACACATTCTGATTCAATTTCAAATACAATCACAAGCTGTCTGCCTTATAGTTTCCTTGAATAGTTTCAAGTACTATAAAGTGAAATGTTTCTGTTTTTGCTCTGAATTTTCCTTAGATGTGCATAAATATAAGTTCTAAATCATATTTCTATATCGTTCTACAATTGAGCAACAGTGAAAATATTGTGTTATATTAATGTGTGAAGATTATAAGTAAATAAAGCTAATAAATATCAGAAAGAAGATATTTTGTTGAAATTACAGTTATGCCAATCTAACAACTTTGACGAAATGTGGGATAGTAAAGCCCAAAGCTTCATACGGATGGGCTGCATTAGTCAAGTTGTTAGATTTAAATGAAGACGAGCAATATCAGAAAACAAAGAAACAAAATTGTCATCTAATTCAAAAAATTTTGCAGCTACGCCTATTGATGTAATTTGGAAAGGAATAGATTTGATTCTTCTACTCTATTTTCATCGGTATTGGCTGAAATGCCTTAGAAAAATATTTGAGACTGTAAACCACAACGTTAGGAGCGCAGTCGTGACAGTTCTGATCCTTGAAAGACTATATATAATGTGCAAGACAGTCATTTGTGTAAACGTATAATTGCGAATATAAAGCGCACCCGATCATACCGTCAAGTGACAAAAATCTCGGTCGCCGTAAACGATGTGCACTCAACGCAAATCAACAATTTAATATGACACGGACACCTCACTAGTGATTGTATAAAGCGTGAGACATCTTTCCAAGTCATATCATATTACTTAATGCATCGATTTTATTACTACTCGATCTTACACATATTGCTGTAAGATATGACTAACATAAGAATGATTGTTCAGATTGTTGTAATAAGACTACTCAGATGTTGAAATTCACAGAGTACACTGTAGTCGTACATTTGTACGTCAGCTTTGATTATGAACAACATATCCATTATGTCTTATAAATCAATGTTGAAGTCATGTAGTCGCCTAAAGTTTTGTTTACCAACTAGATCTAGACAATGGGTTATTTTACAAATAAAAAAATACCGTTATGGTTTAGATCGTATATTACCTTACTCATTTGAAGTTATGACTCGTTTTGGCTTGTCATCGGTAATAAAACAAGATCAACAACCAATTGAAAGGAAAACTATTAATCCTAACTCTTTTTAATAGATATTAAGTTCACGAGGGGCCCTTGTAAAGTCATGTAAAGTTCCCGACGTTCCAACCGACTTTGCTACAGAAACTTTCAGAAATCACGACTTCTGACTAGACGAACGTGTCCCTTATGTCAATCTGTATGAACTAATTCCTTTACACACCTCGCTAACTTTCCATTTTGCACTCTTCTTTCGAACTAGAATTGGGAATGTAGTCTAAGATAATCACTAGAGATAAGATTTCCAAGCCCAAATAAATTGTCGATCAGAATTTGATAATTTAGTTTAGTGTCAAGATTAGCGAAGGTAGAGTACTTATTTATCATACATGTAGTTCATAAATGAGTAAGAAAATAAGTGAAGCAATTGTGACTAAGCGGTGGTTCACAACAATCAGCAAAAGTGTCTGTAAGAGCGTAAACAGACAAACCCCAAGTCCGTCTGTGGTAGCATTGGCTTTCACATTCGTTGACAGGATCTACAATGCAGGTTGATCACGGTCAATCTTTACTAAGACACTGCCAAGATCTACAATGCAGGTTACTGCCAAGATCTACAATGCAGGTTGATCACGGTCAATCAAAACATATTTCCTTGTATCTTTCAGCTAATCCTCCACAATTCGCAATGTTGTTGGCAATATTTCTGATCATCGCAGTATCAACCCAGTCAGCAGCTGGTGCCAATTGTGCCTGTGCTACTGGAAGCGTCCACATTAGAAGTGGTGCTGGAACAACACATGGCATCATAGGAACCATGACTGTTGGGAACTGCTACCCATACAAAGGTGACAGTGCCAATGCTGGTGGATTAAAATGGGCACACATTGATTATAATCATGCTGTAAGTTCTTAAGAGAGCTCATGTTGTCCACCCGACTGTTAGAATCTAAGAGATGGCAGAATCTGATTCAATTAAACTGGTCTCCCGGCCACTGAAATATCGCCTGCGATGGACCTGATGAAATGCTAGTTGATCTTTTCCTGGATGATCAAGAATAGCCGATGAATCGTTTTAAGATCCATCGCCTTGCATAAGTTGCATCATGGGTTCGATATCTGGACAACACTCCATGATATTTCTGTACAACAATGATGCTCTGAGATAAATGCTTTAGTAATCCATAAAATCGTGTCCAGATTTGTACATTTCACAATATGAAGTAGTCTGTAATGAATTTGTAAGGACAATTCCGTTGAATGTATGATTTTATTGTTTCAGGATGGATGGGTAGCATCAAATTGGTTAGATTTCAGAAGTTGTTCAGGTATAAATTATAGGTCTTATTAGAGTTTATTGGTTTAAACTGTCTTATAGTTTCACATATATTACAGTAGCTCAGCATTGATGAATCGTTTGTAAGATAAATATAATCACGACTAGTCGTTCGGATGGGACATAAACCGATACCCCTTGTGCTACAGGCTGTGCACATTAAAGACAGTTGGAAATCGAAAGAAAGTAGGCTAATATGCCGCTGTCCTGCCAAAATTTCTCTCATTGCTTGACGTTGCCGGTCTTCATTAGCCCTATTTGGTGCAGAAGAGTAGGACGTAAAACTCCATTCATTTCATTTTCATTTGCTCATTGTGTTGTAGAAAGGTTTGATGGTATGTAATATCTAATGCTTGCAAAATTTGTTTTGTGTCATCGATTTTATGTGCGTGTATCAATAAATCTTAGGTTATTGGTCTGAAGTCTGTGCAAACACATTTATTTCGGTATCTTTTATAGGTTCTAGCACCGGAAAATCCGTCCAACAACTACCAGGCTGTCCTCATATTGTATCTCGAGCTGAATGGGGTGCTCGACCACCAAGGAGAGTGGCCCAAAACCTCCCACATGTTCCTCAAAACGTCTACATCCATCATGGCGCCTCTGGTTCCTGTACAACCCAATCAGCATGCTCTAAAGTAGTCAGACAATACCAAAACTACCATATGGACACACATGGTAAGAGCTTGTCTGAGAGATCGTTATTATTCCAAATTCGAACTTGAACAACCATGGCACTTTCAGTATTTGAAGGATGGAACTCTAGAAAAGTACTCAGAGATCAAAGATGGAATGTTTCGAAAATGGCGTGGATTGTCTGTCTCCAGAAACTTTTCTGGTGTGTCCAGAATTTCAAAAAATGCTGAATGCTGAAAAATAACTTTACCTAACACTTCTATTACAGGATGGCCAGATATTGGTTATACGTTTGTTATTGGTGAAGATGGTAATGTATATGAAGCATATGGTTGGGGTAAAATAGGAACACATACACTCAATCACAACTCAGATGGTTTAGGTATGTATATAGATATTGGAGCGATGAAGTCACTCGGACACAATTCATAATCACTTCCCAACAAATTTTCAATAAATTTGCGTGGTGTTAGCAACAAAATAAAGGTTAAGCCTTGAGAATTGCTGGATAGAATATCAAGTTGATACATCCTGTCGCAGACGGGCATCGTGGGCTCTTAAAAAGCAAGAAGAATACAATATTTTGAGCCAATGGACTCACTGATAGCGACGCAGACAAATGTCTCTCCGATGTGGAGAGGTATAATGCATCATGGAAGAGTAAGTATTTTCTGCATCGGCAAAAACAACCGACACAATTCTAATAGTCATATTGTTGCCCAAATTCATTAAAGCCTTATACGTGAATATAATAACTGAATGACCCCAGAGAGAAACTCTTTAAATGAAAAACATTTCAGGTTTCTGTGTGATTGGTGATTTTACTAACCATGTACCTAACGCTGCTGCTATTAATGCTGTCAAACAGCTGATAGATTGTGGCGTAAGAAACGGTAAAATACGACAGGATTATATTATCAAAGGTCATCGTGATGTCAGACAAACAGCTTGTCCGGGGCAGAAGTTTTATGAATTGATTAGAACTTGGCCTCATTATAATGCTCATTAATAAAATCTACTCATGATGAAGTGGTATTCTTCTTCTATCCATATTCTCGTTATTACTTGGAGCTGTGGTGATTCAGTGAGTTAGCCTAAAGGTCCAGGGGTCGATCCCAACAGTGATGTAGGTCGGAAGGCTGACATCTAAAAAGCGTCCGATATCAGGGTTCATAGATATCATCACTGCAGGAAAACTTCCATAATATCAAGAAGAAGAATTCTTTGAAATTTACTTTATTTCATACTAAAACAGTGAAATGAATGACTATATGTACATATTGACATGATGATGATCTTAACTTGGTGGAGGAGGGGGAGGTGGTGCCATGCCTTGTTGTTGAGGAGGAGGACCACCACCACCACCACTACTGTTACTTGTTGGGGGTGGAACAGGTGGAGGAGGAGGTGCCCCCATTGGATGACCAGGATGTCCCATTCCACCAGGCATATTAGGATTCATACCCATGGGAGGTCCCATGTTAAAATGACCAGGAGGTGGAGGTCTAGGTCTCATTCCAGGTGGTCCCATGGGTGGTCCATGGGGTCCATCATTCATCGGTGGTGGTGGTAATCTGGGCGGTAATTGATGTCTCATATTAGGTCCACCAGGTCCCATAGGTCCATGTTTATTAGGATCATATTTAAAGGCAAACTGTAGGAAAAACTGAAAGAAACAGTTAAGATATTTAATGGATGCTACATGTTTAATTAAAACATGGTCGGATTTATGATAACCAAAGTCTGAAGTCCTCTACAACTCAAATATTTTAAATGGAATATGGGTAAAATAGAACAATACTTATGGAGTGATATGCTAGAACAGGGTTTAAAGCCCACCGTCAGGGGATGCTGCATGAGCCAATCTTCAGCACATGGAGACTAGGTTTATTAACTAGCCCCTATACCTGAACCTGTATGAGGGGAAAGATTTTATAGGTGCTATCATCAAGCTACAATGCCTTGACAACCAACCCCAGGAAGAAGTAAATGATGATCAACATACCTGTTTTGTATCTCTATTCCAATGAGTCCAGAGCTTTTTAGGATCTTTATCAACTTCTCTACTTGGTACCTACAGACATAAAAAACAGCATGTTCAAAATTTTAAATAAAGATAGTGGACCACAGCCAAGATTTTGGGGCAAGGGCAATAACTCTACTTCTAACGGTCGAAAAAAAGCTCAAATTCGAACTTGATCTTCGTTTAATGAATATGTCTACACATACCGAATTTCATTTGATTCCATCAAAAAATCTAGTTTTTAGAGCGTTTACAAGCAAATGTTGACGGTGGACGAACTGACGGAGTGTTTACGAGCAATTGATTTTGATAGAAGCACTTACTGTATAAAAGTTAAAGGGCGATAACTCCTTAAAACTGACGTAAGAGGCCTAAATCTTGTAAAAGCCTTAAATTTAATCAGAAGTAAACTAAACTTTCTCAAACCTTTCGATTTAGGTCCAATAACATCCATTTTAAATTTCATCAAAATCGGTTGAAAACTAAGAGAGTAATAGCATATTCAAGATTTTGGGGCAAGGGCAATAACTCTGCTTCTAACGGTCGAAAAAAAAGCTCAAATTCGAACTTGATCTTCGTTTTATGAATATGTAAACACCTACCGAATTTCATTTGATTCCATTGTTTTTAGAGCGTTTACAAGCAAATGTTGACGAACGGACGGACAGGGGTGCCGACAATATACGTCCACATAGAGAGATGTGAGCGTATAAAAATGTCTTATTTTCTGTTTAGTTGAGTTTACTTCAGCTCAACATCAATTAATGACAGTTTTAACTAACCTTAAAAGCTATAGTTTCATAAGGTTCTGCAGCAAATAATAAATACTGCCATTTCCTGTCTGGAGGCTCTATTTTCTGTTCATAGGCAGCCATAAATCTATAACGTGGCATAATAACATCAACTATTTCTGGGTAGTCAATCTATAAATACATAAATAAACTTATATCTTTCCATGTCAATCCACTATGCACTATAAAAAAATTGAACTTGGTTGAAAGATTCACAGAAAAGCTTTGATCCACTGCCTGAATTAACTTTTCAAATTTACTTAAAGGTACAGGTAGACCATTTTTTAACCAATCATACCTCTAAACTGGACTTTTTTTTTAGCTGAGCTAATCAGTAATAGTGTTCCTCAAAGCAAAGAGGCCACCATCAAAAAGACAAAATGATTCATCTATATCTGAGGTAGATTGAGCTTTACAGAAACCACCAAGAGTTTCTGATGAAATAAGACATTTACCTGGAACAGCAAACTCTGTTGTCCATTATCAGGATCTCTCTGTTTAGTTACTGAAGAAGAAGAATGAAAATTTTGGTGTGGGATCTTGGTAGTTTCAGTTCTTTTACTAACCTTCCAACAAAGTTGGTTTTGACAACTAGATTCATGTGAAAAATGATAGCCATAACTTTCAATGGAATTATAGAAGGAATAAATATTGGTATAGGAATGCATATCGTAAATTACCTGATTAAAAAATACTGAATATGGCCATATTGTGATATAGTAGTTATCATGATATATCGTTAACTTTTTGTTCAGATAAGAAAAATTTTAAGAAAAAAATATCTTAATATTTAAAACAGATGTATTTTTCATGATATTCAAGGTTGCGTTGTCCTTTTAAATATTTTACATATAAAATTCTTAGGTTACAAAACAAACATATTTTGTTTCAAAAACCAGATGTAAACAACATCGAGATATATAAACTCACATCATTATATATTAATGCTAAATATCGTGATATCAACTTGAACCAATATCTCTCAGCCCTACAGCTAACTAGTTTTAAAAGAGACAGGAAAAAATATGTTTGAATTTTTATCATGTCTTCTTCAAGTACAATGTCCTGGTTAATGGTCACAGAACAATATTTGAACTCTTACCTTTGTAACCAGGTCGTCCAATCTTTACAAATTTTTTAATTTCAACCTTTGCTTTTTCTGGAGCTGGTTGAGATGGGGCTTCCTTAGCCTCTTTAGCTGCTCTTCTTGCTCTGTAAAATTAGATACATTATTATCATTATTGTAAATATATATTTAGAGCCCACTCCATACACAAATGTAATGAAATAGTCAAAGAACATCCTATAAATGGTCCAAAGTTAATTGAAACTCCTATATTACACACTGAACAAAATCACAATTATAGAGATATGCTAGAAATAGAATTCCCATTTCATCTGTTTGGATGATTTGACTTTTTTTTTATACATTTATATGTATACATTTTAATTATACATCCAAATATGGTTTAACAAAATTGTTATTGCTCAACTTAAAGCAAGAAAAATAACTATGACAAGTATCTTAGCACATATTATTAATAATCAAATAAAATTATACACTGACATACTTCCATAATTAAAAATCTGCCAAACTAATGAAATTCTATATAAAGGATAAATATCTATACTTACAAATTAGCTTGATGCTTTTTACCTTGAGTATGAGCTAAATAACTGCCCTAAAATAAAATATTCCAATACATTTTATAACTATACAATATCAATTAAGGATAACTAAGTGTAATTACTTAAGCTCCAAAAGGAAATAGGGTTAACTTTCCAATATTGGACTCAGAGCAAACTAAGCAAATTCACTAAAGAAAACTTCAGTTATGTAAAGCAATCATGAAGCATTGAACATGGTACTTGTTTAAATGAAGTTTGTAAAATAAGAACAAGTGTTTTTACTGTTTCTAACACTTTTTAATTGAAAGCAATATAATTTGGGATTACACATCTTAGTTTATATCGCACATTGGCACAAAAAAGGGGTCTCTGTAAGACAGTTGGTTAGAATGTTGAAAACATCATTTGCTTGCGAACAAATGGTAGTCCTCGGTTTCTAATCTCGGTCATTATGTGAATGTTCTCTTAATTTTGATCAACCAAGTTAGACCATGAAAAGATCAATGACAAGAGGATTGGCTAAGGAACTAAGGACCCTTGGAAACCTAAGTTGTTATTACAAACATGGATTTCTTTTGTATTTAATAAAAGAATGAAATACACAACATCAGCTTTTTGACACAAATCCTTACCTCATTATTATGTAAAGTTAAACATAATTTACATTCATATGATCCCAGATGATTTTTCATAAAATAGGGATCTTTGTTAAGGTCAATAGTTTCAAGCGCCAACTGACGTAGCCTCTCTCTTCGGTCACGATTAGTTTCAGATGCAGAGGCCACACCCCCTGACCCAGTTTTACCACCGGCTCTGTGTTGGAAATCCATGATTAAAAGTGATCAATCTGAAACAAAGATATAACAATGATATAATTGGAAAATTTTCAACTGACATTAGAGGTATTAGTACGGTATCAGTTTAGAATCAAAAGTTAAAATAGTCTTCGAATATTTTGATATATTGATGTAAATGAATTTTTATGATCTTTATTAGATAAGATTATTAGATAAGATTATTATTTCTTATCCTTAAATTTAATCAATGAGGGCAATTTCGAAGCCAAATTTTACAAAGGCCTGGGTCTTTGGGTGCACACATATTTCTTTGCAATTGGAAAGATTAAGACTACCGTACCCAGTCGACTGATAAAATAAGTATTTTGACAGCTTTTTTCTACTTCAAACTTCAGCTTTTGTTTTAGGCTAGCCTACTGCCAATCCAAACAAAATATCCCTTTTTTTCTTCTTTCTTCACACCAACTGCATTTGTTGGTTATAGATGGACTGCATTACTTACGTGACTTCAATTTATTTACTGGAATTGGGGGGTGTTGAAAACGTTTCAAACTATAATGGATTCTATATTCTTTTCTCAGTCATATTTTACTTAGGCAAACATGTTTACGTTTCTTCCATGCAATTACATCTTCCGGTTCTGGTCTGTCACGCGGATACTTGACCTAATTTTTCAATTGACCTTTTTAAATTTATGAGAAAGAAATTGTATATGCCGAGATTAAATACACTAAGTAATTGTTAAACTAATTTAGGATAGAGTATGGTTTTAAGAAAAAAAGCTTTTTTGATGCCTTTCGTCTATTTTCCATTGTTGTAGTCCATATTGTCAAGCGTTAAACTAAAGGAAAGAGATACATTAAAATACGTCTGGACAAAAGTGTATTCTGTCAGACAAAAAGACTACCCTGCATAAAATCAAGATGGCTGCCCAGATTGTTTGTTTTGATGATGGTACATGGTAACTTGACAAAACCTTGAATTTGTCTTTCAAAGAATTTATGACAATCTGTTTTAATGTTAAAATAAGGTAAGAGTATATGTATCTAATTCAAATCGTTAGGTCTAATGGTATGCCTACGGTTTATGCGGCTGTTCTATGGAGTAAGTGGAGATTTGCCGAGAGGCCTGCTCAGACACTTCACCAGTAGGCTACCACTTGCTTGAGAAATTTTTCATTTTGGACAATATAAAAACGGTTATTTCACAGTCTGTCATCAATTTGAACATTAGCTGACAGCAGTAAGCATTTAATCCATGTAAGCCATAAGCAAATCTCCAACTATGCCCAACTAATCACCAAGCCGCGATGCCAAATTGTAGAGTAGACTGACTACCCCAGGTTTCTTAATGCATGGTGGGCCAGGCCCCCGTTTCACTAAGGTACTAAGTATAAATATTTACGTAAGTATATATGTAGGTAAAATTTGCGTTTCACCAAAAGACGTAAATTTTACTTACGTAGATATGTTGCCTAAATCCTACGTCAACTACAAGCAGGCGTAAGTACGTTTTGGCGACTGATCTAGTGTCAGAAAAACGCTGACAATTAGTTTTTAATGGACAGGATGTATTTACAATTAATAAGAATGAAAGGAGAAAGTTTTCAGAGATCATACCTCAGATCATAGACACGTCATGTCGAATTTCACAAACTTGATGTCGTATCTAAACATTCATTGGTTATTTATAAATAGAAATGCATTCGAAGCACAAGGGTTTTTATCGGGGTCCCACGTTAACCCTATCCTTAATATTATTCACACGTCTTTATTTAATGATTTCAAAATTGCTTTTAGAGTTTAGGACAATGCTAACTAAGAAAGTTTAACTTTAGAAGTGTTCATTTCAATATTTTATTACGTCTATTTATCTTTCCATTTCCACCAACCATGCTTCGTCACCCCAGGACTGAACTTGGAGCGAATTGTATTAAAAATTTTCATAACAGCTTCGAAAAATGCTGATGTTTCATAATTGAACCAGTTATGTTTTCTTGCGGATGATGCCATTTTGACAAAAGTGACAGTGAAAGACGATTTATTTAGGCCTAGCATGACTTACGCCATCATGTATTGATTTTACGTCACGCATTTTCATACATACGCCACTTTTTTTACTTAATACTTACGCATGCAAGTAAAATGGATGTAAGTAAATACTTACGTTATGTGTAAGTATAAAACTACATAAATACTTACGTACCTTAGTGAAACGTGGGCCAGGGCTTTACAGTGGCAATCTTAAAGTACAAAACTTCTATTTTTAATCGGTAACTTGCTTCTGCAGGAGAGTATCTTCTATAACACCCAATAACAAAGGGAGTCACAGGCTTCCTATATTATCTACCGGACCAGTATTTTATGGCTAATAAAGACATATCATATCTTTTTGCATATATTGGATTATTGTATAATTTTTCTTCGCCTAGGTCAGAATTCAGATAGAGAACAATGGATAATAACAAGCCAGCACCAAGTCCAGAAGAACTTAGAGAAAAGAGATTAGCATATTTTGAATCTAAGTTATCACTGCCCGTCAATTCAACTATGCCAGAAAAGCAGTCTGCTAAGAATAGAATAGTAGATAAAGATGTTTTCAATATGAAGGATCCAGATAAAGGGAAACCTAGAACTACAAATTCTCATTTTGAGACTGATAATGCCAGTATTGGGGCAGTTAATGGCTTAGATGATATTGAAGCTGAGTTTTCTAGACAAGATTATCGCATTAATTCTCCATTAAAACAAGTGAAATTGAAAGCTAGAAGGGAATCATTCCAGTCAGACAGTGATTTTTTGACTGATGTTTCTGACAGAATTGAGGAGATTCATGTCGTTCAACCTTTCAATCACGCCAAAAGTGAGCAAAAACTGCCAGAAATCGATTCTAAAGTGCCTAGTTTGAATTTAAGGGATTCTCAAAATTTAGAAGCAGTTTCTGTGTTTAAAAGTGTAGCTGATTTTGAGGATTTAGGGCTATCTACCCATAGACCTTCCTCTCCACCATCTACTATTTCAGTTCTGGACAAACGTCTAACTGCAGAAAATTCAATCTTAGATGCCAGTGATATTAAAAGTTTGTTAGGTGAAGACAAGTATGAAGAATTTTTAAGAAAATCTGTGAAAGACATCAATGCTTTGTATCAAAATAAGACAACAGAAACATCACCTCATTTACTGGAAGGTGTTTCAACTGTTGGTCCTTTTACAGAAACTGAAGTCTCAACTGAAGTTACTGAAAATCACATAGTTCATAACAATTTCAATACTAATCACAGTAAACCAGTGAGCAATAACCAGAGACACTTTCCAGATGATTTGAGTCAAATCTCATCATCTTCAGTCCATAATCAGATTCCTTCAAAGAACATCAATGATCTGGAACGGGAGCATCACAATGGTCAGCCAAGAAATTATGACCAAGTTCTTGTATCCAGAAATGTGACGTTTTCAGCTGATGAAATTTACAGACAGGCATATGGTGGAAGATTTGGTCCAAATCAGACTGACCCCAGAAGAAGTCAACAATACAGTCCAAACTCTGGCTATTATCCACCATCTCCTCCTTACAATGTCTTGAGTCCACGACAGCAGCATTATCCAGGTCCGATGGGAATGCCACCTCCAAATTACCAACATATTCCTCCACCCAATATGATGTACAATTCCCATGGAGAGATGTTCATGTCACCACCATCTCCCCAAAATTCTTACTTTCAACCCTATTATCCACGACAGTCACCACCATCAAGGACCTACATGCACCCTGGCTCACCAGGCACCAGTCCTCCTGATGCTGGAATTTTCAGCTATCCTCCCCCAAACTATCAACAGACTATGTTTAACAATATGAACATGAATAACTGTAACCAGTACAGAATGTTTGTACCCAGACCTCCATCTCAACCTCATGCTCATTCTCCTCCAAGTCAGTCCCAAAATTTTGACAACCATCAGGGACACCCTCAGTACTATCCACACAATCACTACAATAAGTTTGCCAAAAATACCAATATACAGAAAGAAGCCTTATCTAAAAAGAAGTCTGCTGCCAAACCAATGGCAGTCCTTATCAAAGAAGAGATAAAAAAAGATGGAAATGTGAAAGAGACAACTAAGCAAAAAGACACATCTTTAAGACATAAAGAAGCTGTTAGACAGTACCATGAACAGAGGTAAGATTTTTTAATTGTCCCTTTGATTTTTGTTTACAAATTTCGATTTTCTTTTTTCTATCCACCAGCAATTTTTATTTGATGACATCTCACAATCTGATACAATTTTTGGTTGTCTTGGACCATGATAGAGCAATTCATATGTTATGTTCTGTTCTGTGGGAGGCCAAGGCTTTCCTGTCATTAGAGACAAAGCAATGTAGAGGTGCCTTCTTTAACCACTGAGTGTCAGATATCCTGAACTCGAAGTAATATAATATCAACTGCAGAATGGTTTAGCAGGCGTTGGGGTACATATATCACATAAATATAGGCCAGGTAGAGTGGCCATTGTGTTGTTCAGAGTTAAAGTATTCTCAAATTCAGGTAGTTCCAATAAAATTGTCAGAAATTCATGAAAGAATGAGGCACATTGATCGATTTGATTAATGTAAAAACCAAATATTGTAATTTTTTTTTTATTATAGAAGGAATCAACAAGATGATTCTACTGAAGAACAATCAAACAATATTAAAGAAAGTCAGAGCTCATCTTATGCTGCCAGCTCCCTTCACAGATATTTTTCATCATTGGAAAACTTACAACAAAAACCTGAATTACCAAGAAGAAATAGCTTGGATGATTTTCGGGAGTCATCTCCAGAATCTGAAGTAGATAATGACAATTTGACAACAGTTACAGGTGCCTCAGAAGTGACAACTGCAGTTGGCACAGATGTTACTTCTGCTACAGCTATGACAGCTGGTGGTTTGACTGATCACATCGAGAAGTTAGGCATCACAGTCCCTAATCTAAAATTAGGGGATTCAAAGAAAACAGAATCTGCATCAAAATCAGAAAAAAAGGTCATAATCTGCCCAGAATGTTCCGCACCTAACAAGGATTATATGACATGGTGTGGTGATTGTGGAGAGGTGCTAATTGGTGTCCAACCAGTTCTGGCAAAGAAGAAAAAAGCTAGACCAGATAAATCCAAAAAATCCAAAAATGGACTGAGTGTGAAACAAATTAAAGATAATGATGTAAAGAATCAAGGTAGATCTACAGATGTGAAGCAAACAGTGTCTCAAGCAGCCAAAATCAAACCCTCTATCAAACAGTTTAAAGAAAAGGCCAAACAAAAGTTTCAAGTGGATCCCAAAGAAGAGGACTTTTCAGATGAGTCTTCAGGCATTACTGAATCTACAATTTCAGAAGTGAAGGCAAAGTTTGATCCAAAGTTTTATAGAACAGAGAAAGATATCAATGAAATATGTGATGTCATCACTGATCCAGTCATAAGAGGCTACATCAGGACATATTTTAACCAGAAGACCAAATCATCTTTAGATAAAGATAGAGATGCTCATGGTATGGATCAAGACATTACAGATGCTTTTGCTGAGCAAGCTGAGCCAACTACCAGTAAAGATCCACAGGATCAGCCCGATGAAGCAACACCTCCAGAAGAAGTACCAGAGAGCACTGAATTTTCATTGGATTTAAATCTGTCCAATACAACAACTGATATGAAACAGGCTGCAGTAGGCTCACCTAAACCAAAAGGAAGACCTTTTGGAAAGAAGAAAGATCATGTAGAAATTGATATTGAGGTGTTTGGAATTGAAGAAAGCAGGGAAGTGAAGTCTACCAACTCTTCTGTGTCTGTTGTACCATCTTTGAATCTGGCATCTAGCAGTAGCAGTGAAGAGGAAGATGAAGCTAAGGAGCTCAACAGGCAGATGATGGTAGATTCCTCAGTAGAATCAGATGTGTTTCAGGCTGTCATGGAAGCAAAAAAATCTGCCAATGGTCCAGTTCAGATTCAACCAACCAAGAAAGATTCATTTTTGGCACAAATTTTAGGACCAAAAACACCAAAAAAGGCAACAACCAACAAACTGTCACCTAAACAGAATAAGAAAGTGGTTCAAAGCAAAGTGGCTCAGTCCATGAACAGTGTGCCTTTTGAGAGGAAGTGGGAGAAATCAAACTTGGCCTGGTCTGCTATTCAACCCAGAGAGATGAATCTTAAGTCTAGTGTTAGCATGCCCAAGGCTAAACTTGGATTCCCAAATAAGAAAGGTGTGTCGGTGTATTGTCTAGAAAATTTTGGATCTGCAGAGAATATGGCTATGAAATCTACTGATAGTTCAAGAAAACAGAGACCTGCTAGTGCTGATTTGTATAGACGGTACGTACTAGTACTTTATTCCTAACTTTTTTTGAAAATCAGTCGTTTTGGAATACCCTGCCTTGCACGAGATATCTTTCACAGTATTCAGTGGTTTTCAAATTCAATAAAGCTTGCCTTGGTGTTTGTAAAGAACAAACTATAGATTAAGATATAGTCTTTAATGTGATTTACATTTCATCCATTTTTTACAGGAAGGTCCAGCAACAAAGACCAATAAGTGCTCAACCTAAACCAACCACAACTGCATACTCAAGACCAAGCAGTAGCATGAGACCAAGTAGCTCCCATGCTCGTCCAACTAGTGCCCAGCTTAGAGCATCAACCAATAAGAAATCTTTTACATCATCACCAGTACCTCTGTCATTGGATGATTTAGAAAATTTTGATGAAGATGATGATGATGTTGAAATGCTAGATGTTGGTCCACCACTGGTAGATAATGATGATGAGGTTAATATGCCTCATATTGTGGAACATAGATTGCCTGCTGAACTACCAATAAAACAGCCTGTTGTGAATTTGGGTAAGTATAGCTTCTTGTAGTAAAGGGAGGCAGTTCTTAAACTTCTAGTACTATCTAAATTAAGTTCTCTTGCAATTAAATAAAAATTAAACATGGGTGTTTACAGAAGACTGTCGGTAGACCTTATTCTTCATTTTGGACCAATCGAATGTGAGGCTCATAAGATAACGCAATAATCTCTTGAAAAGATGTTGTCTTCATATCAGTCTATATTCTGATGTTGTAAAATATGATCAGTTAAGTTTACTGATACATTACAATTTAAAAAAGCTGAAATGGTATAATATAACGTTTACTGATACATTACAATTTAAAAAAGCTGAAATTGGACATGTATAATATTATGTTTACTGACACATTACAATTTAAAAAAGCTGAAATTGGACATGTATAATATTATGTTTACTGACACATTACAATTTAAAAAAGCTGAAATTGGACATGTATAATATTATGTTTACTGATACATACATATTTTAATTTATTTCATGTGATACAAGTTTTGATATTATTGATTTGATTTGATTATGATATTAATTAAATTTAATTTTGAACTTAATTAAGTTTAATTTTGGAATTAAATTAAACATGATATTGAAATTATTAACATATAATTTTGGACTTGATTAAATATAATATTGGACTTGATTAAATATAATTTTGGACTTGATGAAATATATATTGGATTTGATTAAATATGGTATTGGAATTTATTGAATGTAATATTGGACTTGATGAAATATAATTTTTGACTTGATTAAATATGATATTGGATTTGATTAAATCTAATATTGGTCTTGAATAAATATGATATTGGAATTTATTAAATGTAATATTGGACTTGATTAAATATAATTTTTGACTTGATTAAGTATGATTTTGGACTTGATTAAAAATGATTTTGGACTTGATAGAATATGATTACTTCTATTTATTTATTTATTTATTTTCAGTACCTGAGACATCATTATCAGCTTATAATAAATACCATGAATTGGTGAGTGAGTCTACTTTCACTTTCAGTACTGTTACTTTGATTTCTTAGAAATGAACCATTGTACCTTGACACTATGTAGATTAAGTACAGGTCAAATAACATGTTTCAGTATTTTAAAATCCATTATCTACTGTCACTAAACAAACTCTGCAAGCCTAACTGTATCTTTTTGAAGTTTTCATTGATCGATAGGTACACCTCTGAGATATTTTTCTATGAAAGTAAAAAGAGCTTTCCATGAAAATGTAAGTAAAGATAACAAAAGATATTAGTATGACTCAATTTGATAATCAGTTTAGAGTTTAAATCTATACTGTACAAATTTACACTGCACAATGTTTATGTTGCTGTTTATGTTTGATTATATAAAATCTTACATGGTTAGTTTTTTTCTCACTGGAATAGGGTTTGTTTATTCATTTTCTTAGAGTTTAGTTTCTTTTTTAACTTGACTGTGTGCCTGTGAGACACTTTACATCCTATATTGTACAATATAAGAAAGAAGAGTGAAACTTGAATCTGTCAGTAAAAAACTGTGAAAATAAGACTGATGGAAATAGTGCCAGAACGAGTGGGGTTAGGTCAAAATGATTTGCACCACAAACTGTATCCCCACTTTATTTTAAACAAATTTAGAAATATGATTTGTATTTGTTTTTGCCCCAAAATATGTGTCTTGATGCAACAAATCAATTTAATTTTTCAGAATTTTCTTGGGAGAATCTTAAATGTGCAGCTTGGAACAAAACGTCTCCACATAGTTGCAGCATTTTGAATTGTACCCCCATTTAGTCAATTTGCCCATATTTGTACCCCAAGTTTGTACTGGTAGTAACTAAAGTTTACTAACATTAAAAAAAAAAGAACTTTATGACCTTTAGTTTAGACTTGTGTCGGTAGAAGAAACATCCTGCAGTTGCTAATAACTTTCAAAACAAAAATCGAATGTAGGGTGTCCACATAAATGCAAAATCAGAATATGACACAATTTCCTTAATCATTCCAAATCAGACAAAATTTCCAGACAATCCATAATTTGATATCACACACAAATGAAATTAAAAAGTCAGTTCTCATCAAATTACATTGAGCTCAGAGTATTATTTCCATTCTGATAACTGGAACACGCTACATTCGATTTTTGTAAAAGTTATTTGTATTGATAACTGGTATGAAACTCTATCTGCTAAAAGAAATATATATATTCCATTATATCTTTCATTAATTGTAGCAATTTATTTTGGGCCTTTTGCAGACACCAAGAATTCAAGTGGGTGATTTTTCACCGTGGGTGTGTATGCCAGATGAAATATGGCTTCATATATTCTCCTACCTTAGTCATATTGATCTGAAGAATTGTGGTAAAGTTTGTCGACAATTTCATAGAGTGGCTTTAGATGAAATTTTATGTAAGTATCAAATTTCATGTTTATACGCCCAAATGAAATGGAGGGTGTATTTAGGTGTCAATCCGTTTGTCCATTTGTCTGTCCGTCCACAATTGCTCGTAAACACTCCAGAAGGCACAATTCTTGACAGATTTTGACAAAACTCAGTGTGAGTGTTTGTATTCACCTAAGGATGAACCTAATTGAAGATAAGAAAAACCAAAAATACTAAGTCTGAGTTATTGCCCTGGTTCAATTTTTAGCTTGTAAATACTTTAGAAGGCACAATTCTTGACAGATTTTGAGAGAAATTAGTGTGAGTGTTTGTAATCTTGTAAGAATAAATACTATTGAAAATCAGAAAAAATTGAAAAATATTTAGTATGAATATTACCCTTGTTCTTGATAATAGGTTCAATATTTAGCTCATAAACACTCTACAAGGCACAATTCTTGATGGATTTTGATGAAACTTGGCATGAGTATTTAATATGAGTTAAGGACCTTGGAAAAGCGTTTAATATTTAGCTAGTAAAAACTCTAGAAGGAACAATTCTGAATGGATTTTGACGAGATTTGGTGAAATTGTTTATTATTACCCAAGGATGAACTCTATTAAAAATAAAAAAAAAATTTTATATGTGTTATTGAATTCGCTCTTGAAAACACTTTCAATCTTAAACACTAAAAGGCAAGATTCTTGCCAGATTTTGACACAACTTTGTAAATTTGTATATTATCACCTCAAAAAGTTTAAATGAATTGTATGACTGAAGGTTGAATATTTCATAGTGGTGATTGTAATTGTACTGTCATATATTTTTATTTAAAATCAAACTGATTTCCATAAAACTTGGCTAAAGTTTCCTGTTCACCAACCCCATGACAACATGAGCGCATAGGCAAAGACTAGATTGAATGCCATCAAAACTAACACTTGAAATATTGTGATAGTTATTAATACTACAATTATTTTACTCTAGGGAAATGTATAGCAGTAAAGAAACAACATGCCATAACAGATGAATGGTTAGATCAAATTTCTAAAAGACATCCCATATCTCTGGCTTTAATACAATGTCATGGTGATTTAATAACTAGTAATGGTTTAAAACAGATGTTTAAACAATGTTCACATACATTAAGGGTGAGTAAATACAATGTCATGGTGATTTAATAACTAGTAATGGATTAAAACAGATGTTTAAACAATGTCCACATACATTAATTGTGAGTAAATACAATCTCTGGCTTTAATACAATGTCATGGTGATTTAATAACTTGTAATGGTTTAAAACAGATGTTTAAATAATGTTCACATACATTAAGGGTGAGTTAATACAATGCCATGGTGATTTGATATTTAGTAATCGTTCACATACATTAAGGGTGAGTAAATACATAGCCACGGTGATTTGATAACTATTATTAGTGTATATACACTAAGGGTGAGTAAATACAATGTCATGGTGATTTAATAACTAGTAATGGTGTATATACATTAAGGGTGAGTAAATACAATGCCTTGGGGATTTGATAACTAGTATAAGTGTATATACATTAAGGGTGAGTAAATACAATGTCATGGTGATTTAATAACTAGTAATGGTGTATATACATTAAGGGTGAGTAAATACAATGCCTTGGGGATTTGATAACTAGTATTAGTGTATATACACTAAGGGTGAGTAAATACAATGTCATGGTGGTTTAGTAACTAGTAATGGTGTATATACATTAAGGGTGAGTAAATACAATGTCATGGTGATTTGATAACTATTATTAGTGTATATACACTAAGGGTGAGTAAATACAATGTCATGGTGATTAAATAACTAGTAATGGTGTATATACATTAAGGGTGAGTAAATACAATGTAATGGTGTATATACATTAAGTATGAGTGAATACAATGCCATGGTGATTTAATAGTTAATAATCGTTCACATGCATTAAGGGTGAGTAGATACATAGCCATGGTGATTTGATAACTAGTATTAGTGTATATACACTAAGGGTGAGTAAATACAATGTCAAGGTGATTTAATATCTAGTAATGGTGTATATACATTAAGGGTGAGTAAATACAATGTAATGGTGTATATACATTAAGGGTGAGTAAATACATATCCATGGTGATTTGATAACTAGTAATGGTGTATATACATTAAGGCTGAGTAAATACAATGCCATGGTGATTTGATAACTAGTAATGTTATGATGACACTGTCCAATTGAAAAATTTTGGCTGAAATCTTTTGTCGAAGTGATCAGATATTATTATTTTGAAGCTTATGATTTAATTTAGTTGAAGGTGCAATTCCACATTCCATATTTACTATGACTTAGTATAAGTTGTTGTGTGTTTTAGGAACTAAATTTTTCCCGGTGTAGTCGAGGGAGTCTAACTGGTGATAGTTTATTATTACATGCAGCTGAAACCTGTTATAATTTAACTCATATTGATGCTAGTTGGTGTCACGTGACAGATACAGGGCTATCAGCTATAGCACAAAGTTCTCATAGGTAAGTTTTAATTTATCACCAAGCAAAGTTATTATTTGCTTGGTGACAGTTGATTAAATATGTGGCATTTTGTCATGTCATGTGATAGTTACTATGAGAAAATATGGACCATGTGTGGGTTGGCATTCTCAAGAACCTTGATAAATCACATGTCTTCATTACCAGTACCAGTTAGTACATAGAGGCTTCAAGGCAACAAATTGTTATCCTTTTAAATGATGGTACTGGAAGTACAGTGTTGAAAACTCTTATTCCCTTGTGTTGATTACCATTTATTTCCAATTCTATGTTTCTTTAAGCAGTTCAGGTGCTTCATTGTAGCTTTACAAATTTCTTTCCATAGTGCAATATGTCAAAAGGTTGCCCTTCAATTAAATAACCATAGTGTAATTATGGAAAAACCTTTCCTCAGATGTTAGCCAATAACCAGATTAGACAGTATCCACATAATATGAGAGTTTGTCTTCCTTGTAAGATATAGATGTATATATTCTTCTTGTTTTATAATTTTTTGCTAGTATTTTGGTAATTCTAAAGTATGTTGTACTGTTTATTTGATAGGTTAGAAAGTGTATGTTTAAATGGTTGTCAGGTAATATCTGATGTTGGACTAGAAAATCTCATTAGAAAACATGGATCAAGGTTAATATTGTACATAATATTTTAAACTTTTTAAAGGATTACTCCATCAACTTGTTTTATATGGGAAAGGTCCATGTAACCTTAATGAATGTGGAACAAGCTTGTAGATGTTGTAGACCTTGTACAAAAAAAGTTTCTGATCCAAATTTATTTAGCTTTTTTATTTGACCACCATGATCATTTTAGAAACTATTATCACATAGTTTCTGTTAAGTTGATACTCTCACTTAAAGTATGAACATGCTTTATTCCCAAGCTTTTTTACATCATAATCCAAAAGAAGGTTAAAAAGGGTGAAAAAAGACTGTTTTTGACAGTGTTGAAAGTAAAAAATATTTTGAAATATTCACTAAGGATTACTCCAACAAAAAACCCTAAAATGACCAAAAGTGTTCAATGGAAAAAAGAGGCATCCTACAGCTCTTGCTTATTTTCAATTCGTTTTAAAGTGACTTATATCAAGCAAATATATCTGCACATTTCAATCCAATTCAAAACATAACACTAAGAGTTCATTTTATGATTTGGATAAATTAAATAGAAATTGAAAAAAAAAAACAAGACTAACTTATTCTGTTCATTACAACTTACATTACATAGAATTAAAAAAATATTCTCATGTTTATGATTGGAAATGGATGTTCAAAATATCTTTAACAGTCAGCTATATATATAACTAAATATTGTTTATTTATTGTTCTTATAGTTTACGAGTATTAGAGATGTTTGGATGTTTTAATATTAATCAAAGAGGATTAAGATTTCTAGCCAATAACTGTACTAATTTATATACTCTCAACCTAGGACAGTGTTATAAGGTAAAGCTTACAGTTTTTATCAAACACGATTAGCGATATTTTTTGACAAGGTTTTAGGCAATGTAACTAAATATATGTATGATTGCATGAAACAGTTTAGCTTCCATCATAGCATCAAGTTTGAATATGTGTGGATGTAAGTTTCTTTTGCAAAATCTTTGTCTTAATATACTGGAAAAGAAAGGCCTTTGGTTTGATTGCTTAAGATATTATGATTTCATTTGTTTGGTTTCTAAAAGTGGTAATGGTAAGCATGAAAATCAATGGTTTAGAATTATTCTCAAAAAAGCTACTCATTTTATTTCAGCTAACTGATTCCTGTATGACCCAGATATCAGCAAATTTAGGTCGAATGGAGAATTTAGATTTACGTGGTTGTAAACAGGTATGATAATTTGACTTTCTAAAATTTCAATGAGACACTCTTAATTTTGGTTTTATGTTTAAAGGGACACATTCACCACATGTGAGATCAATAGTACCTCAATAGTACTTCAGCCGTCTTATCCATGGGTATCCATAATAAGCTATGTTTGAAAGTTACTATGGTGACGTATCTTTACCTTTATTTTGAAGAGTTGTTAAGTTCATAATTGAATTTTTGTAATAACTTTTGCTGATATATAATGCTAGTACTTCTGAAGAGCACTTACATATATCCAAATCCTAAATGACTACCCTGATTGTTGCCTTTTAAACAATTGAGAGTTTACATCCATTGTTCATTTCAAAACAATATTATAGACAAGGAAATTTCTAACTCTATTCTCATGTATTGTAGATTCGTGATGCCTGTATAAGAAAGATTGTTAGGAATTGTCCCAGATTAAAATCATTAGTATTAGCTAATTGTCCTAATATATCTGATAATGCTATGGTAGAGGTGGCAACTTATTCTATGGATATCAGGTACAGTGTATATTTTTAAAGTTCATGATATATGGAATAGTCATCTTATTTACTCAAGAAAATAGAAGTGCTATGTACTGAGGTACGTCAGTGAAAGTCGGGCTTTGAAAGTGCAAAATCTTACTGCGATGAAACACTATTCTTAAATATTTGTTATACTGATAAATCTCCTTTCCAAATATCCATATCACTTTTCAGATTTAATATTGGATGTCTTGTTCTAGTATTAGAAATACAACTAATGTGAATTATATTTTGGTTGTTGTAAGAATATTGATGTGTGTGGTTGTAGAAATATAACAGATTATAGAATAAGAAATATAACTAATATAAATTATATTTTGGTTGTTGTAGGAATATTGATGTGTGTGGTTGTAGAAATATAACAGATTATAGAATAAGAAATATAACTAATATAAATTATATTTTGGTTGTTGTAGGAATATTGCTGTGTGTGGTTTTAGAAATATAACAGATTATAGTATAAGAAATACAACTAATGTGAATTATATTTTGGTTGTTGTAAGAGTATTGATGTGTGTGGTTGTAGAAATATAACAGATTATAGCATAAGAAATACAACTAATGTGAATTATATTTTGGTTGTTGTAAGAATATTGATGTGTGTGGTTGTAGAAATAAAACAGATTATAGCATAAGAAATATAACTAATATGAATGATTTTTTAGTTGTTGTAGGAATATTGATGTGTTTGGTTGTAGAAATATAACAGATTATAGTATAAGAAATATAACTAATATGAACTATATTTTGGTTGTTGTAGGAGTATTGATGTGTGTTGTTGTAGAAATATAACTGATTATAGTATAAGAAATATAACTAATATGAACTATATTTTTGTTGTAAGAATATTGATGTGTGTGGTTGTAGAAACATAACAGATAATAGTATAAGAAATATAACTAATATGAACTATATTTTGGTTGTTGTAGGAGTATTGATGTGTGTGGTTGTAGAAATATAACAGATTATAGTAAAACAGATTATAGTATAAGAAATATAACTAATATGAATTATATTTTGGTTGTTGTAGGAATATTGATGTATGTGGTTGTAGAAATATAACAGATTATAGAATAAGAAATATAACTAATATAAATTATATTTTGGTTGTTGTAGGAATATTGATGTATGTGGTTGTAGAAATATAACAGATTATAGTATAAGAAATATAACTAATATGAATTATATTTTGGTTGTTGTAGGAATATTGATGTATGTGGTTGTAGAAATATAACAGATTATAGTAAAACAGATTATAGTATAAGAAATATAACTAATATGAATTATATTTTGGTTGTTGTAAGAGTATTGATGTGTGTGGTTGTAGAAATATAACTGATTATAGTATAAGAAATATAACTAATATGAATTATATTTTGATTGTTGTAGGAATATTGATGTGTGTGGATGTAGAAATATAACTGATTATAGTATAAGAAATATAACTAATAATTGTCAGAGATTGACATCATTAGATATCAGCTCTACTGGCTGTACAAGTAGAAGGTATGTAATCGCTTTTAGGATTTCAATGGAAACCTTGAGTTTATGTCATTAGACATTAATTTATAATCATTAGATGGTATTTCTTGATTTTAGTATTTTAGTCAACTCCAAATCAAATGCTTCAAGGGTTAATAAACATGCATCTATGTGCTATAGGCTGTGCCTTTTGAAGATCCCTCAACAGTTTGGAATCAAAAAGAGTAGGCTTGACACAATTTACCATGTATACGATACTTCTTTTGCTTCATTAGCCCTTTAAAGCAACAGACAAATCAAAATTGAAATCTACAAATTTATATAGCTTTGAGTATGCCTCTGGGGATAATTCCACAATATTTGATGCACATGAAGATATATGATTTACAGTAGACGTATTTGCCTGTATATCATTCGAAATATGAAATATTAATATATAACTTGAATGATATTGTTACTCAGAGTTTTACACTTTGCCACAATAATAACATTGAATTGTGTTTATCTATATGTGTTAATGTTGATATATGTTTTTTATTTCGGTATGTTTTAGTGTTAATATGTTAGCTAACTATGGTAATAGATGTTTAGAAACAGTCAAATTAAACTTTCTAACTGATATTACAGACACTAGTCTTATTAAATTAGTCAAACATTGTTCTAAGTAAGTAATATGTATATTATTTATTGTTATTATTTGTTGTGGGAAACTGATGCAGACATGGTCTTTCTAGGTTAGCAGAATGATAGTTTAGGTTTCAATGTTTGAAGAAATCTGCAGCATAGTAGGAAGATGTCTATCCAAGATATCATACACCTTACTATGAATTGTTGTGTGGTAATGCCAGTACATTTTTTTTCATACCATTACTGGGATCCAAATCTTTAATTTGGTCACATGTGTTTGATTTTTTACTTAGAGATCTGAGCAGTGTGTCCTTGATTTTTGCACCTCAAGATTATTTTCAACATTTTTAGTATAAACTGTTGAAGTGTTAACATAAGACATGCATAACATGCTGCCGGTATTAGCTATTTAATAAATGGGGAAGAAGTCTGTCTAGAAGATGTCTTAAAGAAAATGTCTGTTCACACTTGCAAACATTTTACTCCTATGATGATGCTCTTAGAGTTGCAACCCTTTCCACATGAAATGATATTTGGTATATTTCAGGTTGAAAACATTACATCTTTATGGTTGCTCTAGTGTCCGTAATATACACCAATTGATAGCAATTAACCCAAAATTGGATGTTGAAAGTTAGTCAAGCCTTCAGGTCAGTTGAAATATTCAAGGTATACAGCTAACCAAAAACGTCATCAATGACCAGTATTTAGACTTTCAAGATGGGTTTCTTGCTCTTTTGACAGACCCTCTTTTGACAGACCCTCATTAGGTTTAGACAGAAAAGAATGGTGTGGTGGACTGGTGGTGGTTTATATCGTGTGTTCACCTTGTGACTGAATTTCCAACCAATCTCTTGATTCCGTTTGTGAACTGGTTTTTGGTATCTGCTATAGCTATTGGTTGAAAGTGCATTTGAGTTTGAAACTGCCTACAGCGTCTGTTCGGCCAGGTATCTTTATTTTGGGAAAAAAATCATGTAGAATTAATGCATATGGATAGAGTTATTTCCCTTGGCAGGGCAAGTAAATTGGTGTCAGTCGAATTCATGGGATGCTTATGCTTTATTCATATCTCATAGAAAATAGTTTTATTAAATACACTTTATGATCTGCAAGGTATTGTACAAGGTACATCTGCATAGAGTTATGGCCCTTGTCAAGGTTAGTAACTTATTACAACAGATTTGTTGACTTAACCCTTTTAACACAAAGACCGCTCTATCAAGTGACATCACATAATCTTATTGTCATGTACTTTAAGTTATATAACTTGAATTTAGGCTATATGAAGTTTTATTTTGTTATATTCGGTGTTCAATGGGTTAAACTGCCATAGTCCTTGCCAGGGAACAGCTATATGTCAATTAGATAGGCTACTACATGACGCAAGGATTTTTACATATGATTTTTGCCTTTTTTATGATTAAAGATATAAGTTGTGCCAAATTTGGTGCAAATTGGATTAAAGTTGAATGTGGTAAATGTTTTATAATGTGTAGTCTAGAGAAAGTTGAATATACAGAGCTATTTTACATCTGTGATAATTTTTCTATTCAATTCTTACTTGATAATCTAGTATTCCACATCTTTATGGAACCAGTATAACTGATGTCTGGTTAATCTTTACTACTTTGAAGAATTTATTTGCTATTATCAATATAAGTGCAAATCATTGCTGTGAAATCGAGTGATAAATCGCTCCTTATACATTTTATGAATTTGAATTAAAAAAAAAAAATTATGTTGTATGATCATAATGAAGAAGAAAAAATCTGGTGAAAAAATTTGTTTAGGGTAATATGCTGTTTTACAGGAGCAATTTATCATTCAACTTACTGCAGTGTGACTTGCACTAGCATTTTTGATGCAGTTTTTTTGATGGGTTCTTTGCTATTTTCATTTGATGCAAAAAGTGTACATCCAAGATTGCTCTAAACATATTACCAAAGGTAGTTTAAGTACAAAAATGACTTGTTTTACCTCCATATTGCCTGCTCTTTTTATATTTACCTCTTGAGGTTCATGTACATCTTAGTTGACCATACCAAGAAAATTGATACAACCAAGGCTATGTATGGACTTTGCTTTCAATGTTTTAAAGCTCTCTGTTATTTTTTTTCCTTCATACAAACTATGTTTCTATTTATTTACATTAAACTGAGAATCAGTATTGTTTTGTTACAAATAGTTTTATTTGTGATCTGCTATTTGATCATTATAACTTTGATTTGTTTTTATAAGATTCTTGTTAAAATGGGATATTTTCATGCATGCACCTTTTGAGTTCATATTATGCCAAACCTCCAATTTGGAGTCAAATTCTGCATTTCCTTCGCAAGTTTAGTTCTAAAAATTGTCACTAATCAAAAGCAATATTGGATTTTTTATATAAAATTTATGATGTCATTACTCTTGTGGTTCAATGAATTCTTAAGAAACTTTCAGAAAGTAAAATTTCATTTGATTCCTTTTATTTTGATAATTTAAAAACAAGTCTAAATTGCTGCCAGATAAAGAATATCACTGAAAATCACCTTTTTTTAAAATAAATTGATATGCATAAGAGGAAAGATTTTGTATCGTGAAGTTTGAAAGATTTTGTATAGGGTATTATTTGAATTAAAGGTCAATGAATTGTTCTTGTAAGAATTATCTAATGGTGGGAAATCATGACATACTATAGAATATAAATTATTTTCTTGTTGTTTTTTTGTTAAAAAGCTTCAGATATTATTTTATTAATTGTTATTCCTTCTTTGAAATAATAAAATTATTGCAAACCTGACTTTGCCTTTTTTGTAGAAATTTTCGAATTTCAACCAAGATTTGATTTGAAATGTGTCAACAATTTTATAAGCTTTAATTTTGAGACCAAAAATTGGTTGAGCTCCACAAGATTAATTGGTATTTGGCAAAGGCACAAGCAAACCTGAAATCCAAATAACATATTGGTGAAATATTGGTAGCATCTAATGAACTTTTAACATGAAGAAGTATATCAATCAGGATTAATTAAGTATTTCATTATGAATCATATACATGTCAGGTTTGATATTTTTACCAATGTCAGTTATCTTATTGTGATTTTTCATCAAGAATTTGGTCTGATCGTTTAACTTGCCATAATCCAGCTATAGGGATTAATTTTAAGATGTTCACTTCACTGTGTAATCATACTCAAAATGTAATGAAACTTTATAGGTAGAGAAATATTAGTGTGTTGAGAAAATTTATCTAAGGTAAAGTCAATACAAAACCTTATTTCATTCCCTTACTTTCCTACCATGACTGTCAGAAATCGTTATGGTGTGATGTGTAACGAAAAAGCGCATTTTCTTAACTCATCATTGCAGAAGTTCCACAACAGTAGGTTTTTCAGCGAGATTTCTCATTTGCCACAGAGTTAACTAAAACGTAATCAACTAAATACCAATTCCCCATTATGAGGGGTGGGGGTGGGTGTGTGTGATGGGGTACCAAAATGAAAAAAAAAATGAGAAAAAAAAGAAAGAAAAATAAAGTCCTTTGAAATTTTTCCTAAGTTTTATTCACATTGTCTTATTCTACAGTCAGTGGTTTTGTACAAACATGTTTAAACCATTACCATTTTGGTTTAGAGACTAAAATCTATCAAATTTTATTTAGACTTTGGAAAGATTTGTGAATGCCTCCCATGGATACCCGAATACTCTTTCATGTGGCATATAATTCCTGCCATAAAGACATCAAAAGGAGGCAAAGCAAAAAATAAAATTGACGAAACATTTGCTACGGTTCAGATGTAACTTATTAGGGGTGAACATTTGTACATCCCTGCCAGATCCGGAATCCCCTTGAGTTTGTGATAAGAGACAAAACATAGACTGGTTAATACTACTCCTACCAAGCCCAGAAGAAAGGAGTAGGCAAAGTGGTTAGGACAGTTAGAGGAACGCAATCTGTCACACCAATAAAGACGCGATGAAAGTCAAACTAAATGATTATCAAGATGGATCAATGAATGCAATACAGTCTCAAAGCATTCTAAAAACTCCTAGCCTATTATATAACGTGGCGTTTGTAAGAAAACATGGCGAGGGGGCCCAACAGGGGCAACACAATTTTTATAAGGGGGCCAAGGCAATTCTTTCGAATACTTTTCTCTAACACTGACCACTTTCTCATCTGTCAATTTGATCCATTATGCCTTTCTGTGTCCCATACCACGCTATTTCTTTAGAAACAAAAGCTTTAATAATGCTCATAGTTTCAATTCCAGTACCCTGCTACAATTGACGTAATAAGGATTGTGCGCTTTAGAAGATCTACAATCTTTCACAAAACTATTGACCAAAAAACCTATATGACCTATGCATACCCCTGATCAAAATGGTTTTTGCGTTTTAAGACTGGCATAACGTTCCTTTTTATATTTTTTGCACATTCCCCACCAGTTGCGTTTTTTACACGTCTTCTCTCGACGTAGTTTAAAACATTGAGGTCCGATAACATTAAAATAAATCTTGCCAACCATCTTAGCTGTTGGTGATGTTGAGTTTCTTAAACATCTTCTGAACCTGAAAAGAGACAAAAGCACAGAAATCAATTACTTGAAAGAAATTATAGTTAATCGTATACAACGCTCAGAAAATAACCGATTCATTTGATTGATTAAAATGTTTCTATTTTGCGACGAACGTCGATTTGGATAACAAGATAGACATTTGTATCATCAGCCTAATAGTATTAAGTTCGTTTCCATAAATATTGAGGGAGAATGCACCAACATCATAATTCTATAGATATTTTAAAATACAGGTTGATGGACGCATACGCCCACAAGATCTTTAAATTCATAATATAATTATAAATGATCGCTAATCCCTTCCAAATGTTGATGATGTCTTTTACAAGAATTTGGCAGGCAAAAGTGAACCAAACATAAATATTATATGAAGGGAGGTAATTTACATAGTCTTGTTAACCAGACAGACTAATATCACATGTTATTGTAGTCTCTTTAATCAAACATGACAATTGCCTGGTCAATTTACTTTAAATATTATCAAGTAGAAGCTAAATATCACATTGTTCCAGAACTGTCACTTTGTGAAAATTATATGTGAACTAGCATTCAGCAAAATATCTCAGTTTTACAATGTCTGCTCGACCAAACTCAAGGGAAAAAAAGTGACTGGTCTTACAATTAATTCAGTCTGTCGATGCTAAAGATCTCTCGAATTGTTCCGGCATAATGTACCTCATTGAACAAAATATTGAATTTCATACGCTCAGTCGCACAGAAAATTATAACCTTATTTCATTTATTAGCATTGCTGCTAACATCATACATATGAACTTGTATGGTATGAAACGATGATTTTTTGACCAGCGAGGCTGGACATTCTTACTCCCTTTTACCACAAGGTGCTACTTAGCGACTTGGATTGTCAACTAGACACGCCTTTGTGCAAATGGCTAAAATCGTTAGTTTGGTATTTATTTTTGGTAACCAAAGTATCTGAACAGTTGATGTCTCATATTCACATTGTCAAGTTATTACGAACATCGTCTTATACTTTGACTGGTATAGCCACCTTTCATATGTTACAGAAGTTTGTAAATGCAGTCATTTTCCAGGAAATACAGCCAATCATAGCCTTCGACAGAAAGTCTGTTAACATAAGCTATACTGCTATATATAAGAAAAGTGGTTACTGCAGTCAAGGTATAAGACGAGGTTCGTAATAGATTGACATAGAGAAAATGATGTTTATGGTGCAACTTTTTGTATTAGTCATAATGCAACAAGTACTCCAAGTAAAAATGTTTAAACAATAACACTCATTAATGCACAATGCACGTAAATACAGGCACGTGCACACATAACAATGTATAGAATATTTATATGTAATGCATTCTTCAGATATGTCTACACCAGGTTTTGTTGCACAGTTAGCAGTTTGTTTATGATAATATATCATGCAGTTGCAGTATATAGAACACAAGTGTAGCGTTTTTCTAGTGTTTTTAAGTACACTAGGTTGAGTACCTGATTAGTAAGATGATAACACTTATTTGACTAATTACGCTATCGAAAATGTTTTATTGCCCTGCTCTCATTGTCATGTGAAAGAAATCGACGTCCTCGATAATCGAGACTGTTTAAAGTGAGAGTATGTATCTATGAAACTCTCTACTTTGTTATTAGTAAGTTGATTTTTGATTTTAAAAAGATATATTGTATTATTATTCTTAAGGGTGGAAATTTGACTTTGTAAAGTTGACACTTTGTTTTCAAGTGTTGGGTAATAAATACCTTCAAGGACACCAAAAAGTGGTCGACCTCGGAATAAGTAGAAACTATAAGGCTCCCTTGTACACACGCGAAAGCATCTTCACAATGGTCAAGGTATTACGAACTTCGTCTCAAAGCTTGTATCATGGTGAAATTGATTGGATTGTACGCTTACGAATACAACCGATGAGAAGCTTCGACAGAAAGTCTATAAACTATAAGCAATTGACAGTCTGTGTGTCAAGATCTCTGATTATCTGTTTCGCTGGCGTACAATCCAATCAAATCGCTGCATACCGTGATACAAGAAAGATTGCTTTTGCAGTCAAGGTATAAGAAGAAGTTAGTAATACTTTGACCATTGTAAAGATGACGCGAAGGCTTACAACCCTTTTTAGAATACTTATAAAACCGAGCTACAAGTATGATTGCAGTACCAAATGCATGTTCATTCAAACAAGCTGGCCATGCTTAATTTGTGTGTGATTTTTTTAAGAAATAGAAGATGATTGTTAAAAGCTTTAACAACGTATTAATTACCTTTATATTTAAAGCAACGATATTGACATTTCCCTGCATTTATTGTGCAATTCATGTACTGTTTACTTTTCTGAATGTATTATTATGAGTTAGAACCTGATATTTTCCAATATAAAAAAGACAGACTGTACAAGAGTTTCGAATTTCTTTCTCAAACGGTTATGGAAATTAAAAAAAACTTGTAATGTTGATCAAACAAGGCTATAATATGGATAAAATATGTTTTACATAGGCCATTGTGAAGTAGTAATTTCCGATAAAAGCGCCTGTAGTGGCCGATTTACGAGCTATATTTTGTAATATTACATAATGATTTAGTAGAAATACAAAACTTATGGTACAAAAATCATTGTTCTCAAATTTCAATTCAATGCATTTCATTTCGGATGGGTAAAAAAATAGAAATGTCATTTGTGCAGAATTCGGGTCCGTTATATATATACGAAATATAGTGTACAAAATTGATTTGAAATCCGATTCCTGAATGGCAACTTTTGCATTGGAAACATATTTAGTCTTATCTCTTACACTTTATATGAATTATAATGGCGAAAGACCCATGCTATATTAGGGCTACAGTTATGAGCGGTTGAGAGTAAGCTAATGTCGCTTTACTGAAATAAAACTTGGTCATTATATTTTCCATTCAAAAAGAAGGGCGCAGAACTCCACCCCATGTACACTGCAAAGTCAACAATCATAAGGCGTGAACTATGAATGAAGGTACTGGTATAACAATCAAAAGAATAGTGATGATAGTTGTAAGTCATAAACATTGTAAAACACTATATTATATAGATTAGAGTGGGTGTTATTATGACTGCAATAGTATAACCAGTTCATCTGATACCTTTTATTATATTAATATACTCAACATAAGGTTAACTTGTATGCTTAACGTACTAGGCAAGATAATGCAAAGTTACTTTCTTAAAAGTCATGTCAGCGTTTAGTCGTCAAGGACAAAAATTCTGCTTCGCTGAATATCAAAAAAAGTTCTTCGAGCCGAAAAAAGAAATAAAACCCCTTAAACACAAACTGCCATCTCTGAAAATAGTATTTCCGGGATACCATTAGTGTCCAATGTATTTTAAAATACCAAGAGAGCTTGATGGTTCTGTTTGGAAGTATTCGAATCATAACAACTCCATGAGCGAACGTCTGGTAACATAAAAGATGTAAAGATCAATTTCGTTAGTTTTTGTTGGTTTTTGGCCATTCAAATGTTTCAAAAATTATCAACAAATGGTTTGAAGATTAGCTCCCAGTGTTTCAAAATATAGCTTCAATATTTCTTCGAACGAAATACATTTCCTTTGGACAAAACTTAGAGGTTCTTCGAGTTATGACGTCAGCGAATTTCCTGTTTTTATTCGGAAGAACGATATTTCCATCAAGCATAGTAACTAATGTAAACAATTTAATGAGTTGTCCAGTCTCTTCATTTACATGTTTATTTGTATATTGATATAGTGTTAATGGCTGGACGTTGAAAGCCAACTGACCATTTGTCAAGATGAAGTAGATTTTAATACATATTTACCCTCTTATTTATGTCTTCAAAACTAAAAACCTTCCTAAATTAATATACGCATATGCTGGTAAAATGGACTCACTGGAGTAAACGTTCAAGTGTATGCTTTTAAAATTAAAATGTCCAACAAGCAGACTTTAAGATACGTAACACACGGCATATCCTGAACGAAAATACATCAACACTCAACAGCAGGCAGTCAAGAAACTTCATGTGGCTTTTATAATGATTCCTCCTCTGGTCATTGTTGTTTTTCCGAAAGCATTATATTTCGTTTTATACTTTATAGTTTAGGACGTCATTTATTTTGACTTAATGAAGATATACGAGAGCATTTTGGCCAAATTTCTATCAATTTTGAAAAATCTTGGATATTCTTCCCAAAACCGTTGTCTTGATCTCACTTGATAAAAGATTATTGTAGAATTTGTGTCATTTGAAAAAATGAAGAAAAAAAAACTAAAATAAAAAAAATCCAAAGTTAATAAAACACTTTAACTCAAGTATATAACTGCATACTTGAGATATCCCCATAATTCATATTATAAGTATTTATATTGATATGATATGCATACTTAACACATCAAGTGAGGGAGATCAAAGTAAAAATTAACAATAGGTATTCTAAGTGATTAATTTTGTACAAGGACTCTTCACTTTAAGATGGATTAAGATTTTAAAGGGAACTGTCTGCAATCATCGCCATTTTTTTGCCAAGTAGATTGAACATTTATCAGTTCCTCAGAGGCTATAAAGTGTCTCTTTTCCATATCTTATGGTTCGTTCACATAACTAGGTGAGCAGGGCGGCGCTAAGCCAAGTGGTTAGTAGCAGCATTAATTTCGAGTTAGTTTTCAATGTACAGACGCTCGACTGTTTACACCGCAAGCCGAGAGGCGCATAGCGGAACAGAGCTAAACGCTCGGAAGATTCGGCTGTATTTATAACCCCTCATAGCTTTCAGCTGTCCACTGTTCAATTTGCACGGCAGAAAAGTCATAGTATCAGGACGCCCTGCTCTGCTTATATGTGGACGACTGACTGCGCTGCTTGGTTACGCTCTTCTCTGCTCACCTCTGCGCCGCCCTGCTGTGCTCGTAGAGTGAATTAACCCTTAATTCTCCACAAGGAAACTGAATGACTCAGCCAACCCTTGGTGATTACTGATTGTACAAAATCAGATACCACTTTGGTGTAAACAGTCT